TAAAGTACAAACTGACTGATCAGATGTGATTTTGCATAAAATCATGTGTATTCACGAGATATAAACCTTGAAAATTATACACATATTGTGTGTCCTCCTGGTCTCAGGTTACCTTATCTGTTTTAACTCAATTGCCTTTTATATATTTCCAGTATTTGGCACGCCTTGGATGAGAAAAATATATCTTAACAGAACAGATGACGCCAGCATTATTATTGTGCCCACAGTTATGTGTGACACAACTCATGTATGTCACACAAGAGGATAATGACCTAAAATATATCCCGTCTCTAAACGTTTTCTCACCTGAACAGATGACACCAGCATCCTCACCATGTCCACAGTTGTGTGCTCCCCATCCATTGTGCTGACACCCAGTTAGAGAAGTTTCCTTTCCTGAACAGCCCACGTCATCAAGCCAAATCTGTCCAGTTCCTGCACCAAAGTGAGCTGATTGAGCAGCTTTTAGTGCTGTCCCACAGTTTAACTGTCTGCAAACCACCTCAGCATCATTTAAGTCCCAGCCATCATCACAGACTGTTCCCCAGATGTTATTGTGATAAACTTCAACTCTGCCAGAGCAACGAGTCGATCCAGACCCAGCCAATAAAATGGGCACACCTGCAAACAAAACACAAAAAAGATATGTTGTGGATATAAGATTCAGAAGTTGTAATATTGTAAATTGTAACTGTAAATTTTAAAGTGGTAGGATGGCTCCGTTAACAGTGAAGTTTAAAAAAGAAAAGGTTAACAGATGGAAATTAAACTAATTCCAAAGTCAATAGAAACTGCTTAAATTTCCTAGTATTAGTTAGCTTTCGCCAATTCTAAAAGAAAATAATGTGTTTGTGTTATTTTAGCCAACATATAATTGGTGCAGACAGACCCTATACAGATCAGAGCTTTGGCTCAGGCTTAGTTGTCCCAATCCCATCTCCCAGTACCCACACTCCTGACACTGAACCAGCACCTCTGTTAGTTGAAGAACAAGGTGCCTTCTTTTATGTCAAGCAATGTGTCTAATTGCAGGGAGGCCCCTTGGGATTTTTTTCCTACACACTTTTTATTTATTTTGCAATATAATGCATTTGTCACACAACAGGCAGGTCGGCCGGTGAGGAATGTCAGTCCATGACAGCATTATAAAATTAAATAAAATCTATCTGAGTTCCACTTAGGTCTCATGACATAGATACTTTTCAGTTGGCTACACTTAAGTTATATTTGCCAGTACCTTAATAATTTAAATAAAACAATTTTGATCAGTAAAACATAATTTTAAACCATTTTATAGATGAGATTTTAAATTTATATCCATCCAAAAAGTTAATGACTATTTAATTTATATTTGTATTTGATGTAAAGGTACCAATCAATGTAAAAAACAGACAAACAAAAAACAAAAAAAATCTAATAACATTATCATGAAAAATATTAAAATGAAACAAATTGCACATTTCTCAGTCTTGCATAAATTTAAAAAAAATCTATTCATCTAAGCAGAACATTGGTCGATGTCCGCACAGAGTTATAATTCTATGTTTGCAACATTAAAGTGGTGGGGCCCAAAGTGATATTTCTTTTTCACGGTTCCCAAATCCATGGTGTTACTCCTGCAAGGAAATGTACATTACTGATCGAAGGTTTTAGAATATTTTTTTTAACACATCAATTCTTCTTCTTGTCCAATGAATAGCCTGAAATGATACAAAAGTAAGTAGGCACCCTCAACCAAATTGGGTACCACAGCATTCTGCAGAGCCATGCAGCATCCTCTGGTATGTGACTAGCTGTTTAGGGGTTCATCCTACAGAAAGATAATAACCCAAAATATAAGATAAAGCTATGCCAGAACTACCTCATGAAAAAAGAACAAGTTAATAAGCTTCCAAGGAGCTTTCCAAGCTCCTTAAACAACGATGACCTGGATGACTGAGAACCTTCATAGACGTATCTTGAAAAAAGTACCTGTCAAATATGTTACAACACAATAACTAACTCAAACTGGATCCTGCTTTTTTCTTGTTATTCGTTTTAAATCGTTTTACATTTTTTCATTGGTATTTTGTTGTTTGATTCTTTATGTTATTTCAGTGTAAATGGATAGGTTTATGAATATAAATATTATCAGAGTAGAGAGCTTTTTGCCAAATTTAGTTGTTTTTAATTTCTTTTTGATATTTTACAAGATTTATATTTTTTGCAGCACTCTGTTCCATGTTAACTACTAAACCATATAAATAATCCTATAATCTACATAATCAGCTGTAGAGCTAGAGCCAAAAGACAATTTTCTAGTCTAGGCTCTCCAACTCCCACATCTGAGTTTGTGAGGACTGCAAAACATCCACTATAAGACAAGTGAACCATGATTTAACTACAAGACCTGAAAAGAACTAAAAGAAAATCATTTTCATCTTTACATGCAAACACAGACATACACACAACATGTATCTCTTATATTAAAAGTTCCTATTCTCTATATGGCACGCTCTATGGCTACACTGTAGCTTTCAAAAATCTTTAGACTGTGCTGGTGCTCTTCACTTGTTATGGTTAATTGGTCCAATTAGTTAACTTTAGATTGTTACTGACAGTGATAAACAGTGATCTCCTGCTTCTTAGAAAAGGGGGACACGATCTCCAAAGTGTCCTTTAGTAGTAGCATAGGTGTTAAAGATAGCAAAGGAAGGAATAAAGACATTTAATCCCCAGTTGTCTTTTGCTCAAACCAATGAGATTAGTACTGCCTCCTTTTTCTTTTCTTTTTTTTTAGCTCAGCAGAGAAAACAGCTAAGGTTGAAACTAAACTTAAAACTTGTTCTTGGATATTATAAATACAAATATCCTTACCAGACATCTGTGCACGGCCATCTGAAAAATAAAGGAGAAAATAATTATAAAAAATGTTAAACCAGTGTACTGCACATCATGATTTACATTTTGAAGCATTAGTCAGACAGAAAGTAAATACCTGAAAAGTCAACTTGGATCTACACTGCCTTTTCTTGTTTCCTCAAACTTTCAGAATTGTTTACCTGAACATTTTGGGAAAGGGGCAGTCCAAATTATAATGATGTTGAATTGGTCAAAAATGTACTGTCATAAGTGCTATATATAAAGTATATATGATGCTTGCTCACTACCCAAACATGAAGTGAAAACAAACATTTAGTGAAGACTTTTGTTTTACACACTTTTCCCTGTGCGTTCTCTGTATGAATATGCAGGGTTACAATGATCAGTTTCAACATCATAACGGGTATTATAATAATGTTACAGCTGTACAGCACATTGTTAACCATTTGGGAACAATACCCATTTATAAAGACCAACAGCAACTGGAGAGTTAACAAACCATGTAATTAACCAGTTAGTAAACATTGTTAACACTAAACTAAAACCTGTTTGATGTTTAATGATCAAGTTGTACTTTATCAGTAGTAGTTAACATCATGTCACTAAACGTGGCCCTCTCAGTGAGCACATAGTTACTCCCTACTACATTTCTATTTGTCAATACAAAAAATATAATAAATAACCCAATTAACTTGAAATGTTTACATCACTATTGCTTAAATATTTCAAACAGAAAAAGTTTTGGAAAGAAAAGGGGACACGAACTGCTGGCTGGACAGAAAATGCATTAGCAGAAAATTGATAAAATGATAAATAAAGTGCTGTGGATCACAGCAGATCCAGGGACTTTACTGACCTGATCTACATTATAAAGTGAAACAAAGTCCTGCTTTCACCTCTAGGTATTTGCTTTTTTACCAGGTGGATTTTTTGACTCTCTTTCTTATCTTCGATCCATCTACAAGCAGGCTACCAAGTGGGCTGCTTTGAAGTATAGTAGAGTACTTTTAATTACAACAGTTGTTAAAATCTGTACAGCTGAACCTTAAATTAACATTGTACTCTGCCCAGTCTTCATATAAAATAGGTAATGAGAAACAAAATTGAATTTTTTCTCACCTTTGCATGAGAGAATGATCGTCACAAAGAAACAGCAGACAAACTGTTGGAGAGCCATTGTTAACCACACCAGTCTGAATTTGACTTTTTGACTTTTAAATATGTATGCTGAGCCCCTCCCACACACCATTTACTGTTGGACACAGGCTGTCCTAAATGGCCTTCCCATCACTAAGCAATGAATGAACATACATATAAAACAAGGTAACAAATCAAAGGACTTGAATTTGAGGACATTGCATATTTATACAAAAATTGCATACAGCAGTGGCTTTGCAGGGCAGTGTCAGAGGAGGCTGGTTGGGTGGCTGATTGAGTCCCAGTGTCTGGCAGAGGAGGCAAAAAAAGAAAAGCAATGAAAACAAAGAGTACTGAATTGCAGTCTGAGTCCTGTGTATGTGGGTTGTGCTGGGTGTCTTTGTAACCCTGAGTGTTACAGTATAATTTTGACATTTTCTGTCAATTCTTGAATGTTTTGGTTTTTTTTTACCTAAATATCCATCAGGTAAAAAGTCCATTGGTGCCACCGGTAGAAAATTATATCACTGCAATGGATGAGACAAAATGCTGCTGGTTCAGACGTTTACAAAATGCTCAACAATAAAAAAAATTTTTTAAAGTCAGTGTAGTTGGATTTAGTAAGATTCAAAGCACTTCAGTATTGAGGAAAAGTGCTACATTGGACATAAATTGGGTGGAGGGTATTATTACACACTTCAGTTGACCAAACTTTTCCTGCTAAACTTTGTGTCAGGGTGTGGTCTGCAGCTCGGCTGCGGGGGAAGGGTGGTGCAATGGGTTCAGGGGGTGAGTGCCAGTGGAGGATGGCTGACACAGCTGGTATTCATCATTCCTCCCCTATGTTCAGTTAGGTTCTGCCTGTCAGTGTGGTTGCTATTAATTTGCTGTTTTACATTGGTAGTCATTTGTGACTGTCTTGAGCTACATTTTGCTGCCCTCCTGTGTCCAACTCCCTGATTACCCTTTTTTGTATAAATAACACTGCCTTTACCTTACTCCTGGTCCTAGTATCCTGTTCACCTTTCTGTGTGTTCCTCTTTGGACTTTATGTCAGGGCGACTCGGTTTGGATTCAATCACTGTTGAGAACTCCAGGTTGGCTGGTTGGAAGAGGCAAAACAGCAAAAAGTGACCTCTAGCTTCTTGTTGTCTTCCTGGGCTTGCCCATTGGTCTGGGGCAAACTCAGACTTGAGTCAAATGATTTAATAAATACAATACAAATACGCTGTTTCTTAAACAGCGGTGGAGACATGACAAAATCGAATACAATAATAAATCAGGTAAATATCAGGCAGATTTACGTAAGTAAAATAAAGAAAAAACAACAATTACAGTTATCAAGGACTCAGCAGGGAAAACATTTCATAATTTTACAGATATAAATAAGGTTTTTAGGAAGTTTTACATGAATCTATACACCTCTGACCATGACTCAAATATGGACGATATTCACAAATTTCCTAGTGCTTTAGATCAACCTCATTTAACACAAGCTCAAGTTAGGGTGTTGGATACAGCTCTAGATGAACTATTCTGCACTCTTGATAAAATCCTCAATAATAAGACACCTGCTCCAGATGGCTTCCCTGCTGAGTTATACAAACATTTCTGGTGAACCCTGTCCACACCATTTGTAAGAATGATTGAAGAATTTATGATTACCTCTAGAATTTCTCCTACCACGAATACTGCAGTGATTGCCCACTGTCTCTGGTAAATACAGAGAGTCCTTGCATCCCACATAGCAAAAGTAATTCCAGCACTTTTTCATGCTGACTAGATGGGTTTTATTGTAGGCAGACAATCAGCTATTAATACTCCTAAACTAATTAGCTTAATGCAGCTTTCACACTATCAAAAAAGTAACAGTCTAATTGATGCAGAAAAAGCATTTGACAAAGTAAGCTGGAACTTCCTGTTTGTAAAATTTTAAGAAATTTGGATTTGGAGAATCGTTTTTCAACTGGATAAGAGCATTTTACACATTGTCAATCGCCACAGTCACCACCAATGTGGTTTATTTTCATTGGTTCTCTGGTTTATTTTCTATATTCTTTTTATACTTTCCAAACATTTTCTTGGCGATAATCTGCCATAACTTTTGAATATGCTCACATCAAAAATTGCAAAAAAAATTACAAGAGGGTTTTATGTAAATTACTTCTAAATTTGAATGAGACAAAATGGTTTTTGGAAAAAGTAACATAATCAAGTGAACTGACCCTCCACATAAAAAAGGTTTAAAAGGAGGTGATGGTGTTTTAACTGTTTGCTAGTCTACCAGAGGTCTGCTTGTAGAGTTGTCATGGTGATGACCAGGTGTTTTGGAGATTGAAAATGTGACGTCATTCTGGGGTAAATCCGCAAAGGATTATAGGTACGAGTGGCAAGCGGTATGAGCGCATGCAGGCTTTCACATGAAAACAGTCACACAGCGATAAAAAGAAACACAAAAAATGGCAAGAAGCTGTTGTATTATTAACTGCAATAGCCGGTCGCATGACAGCCACGGGAAGCCGACGGGTAAAGAGATCGGTTGTTATCAGATTACGTCGTGGAAGAGAAATTGTTTAAGCCGACGGATGGTCTGGATTGCAGCCATTCGAAGACCAAATATAACGTCCCAGAACACTCCAGCTCACATGTTAATCTGCTCCAAGCATTTCCACAAAGGTCAGTCTTCTGTTGTAGTTATCATAACATAATTGTTGATGTAGGTTACAATATGTGCCGAAGGGTTGTATTGAAGCAATCAAGTGATGAATAACTGCTTTCCAGTATGTTGTTTTGATTTGTTTTGTTTTTTTGCATTTTTGATTTGTTTTTCACTGAAGCAGCTAATACAGCCTAATGGAATCCAATTTTGCCTCTTTCTTGTAAGATTCTATGATAGAATGAAAGAATAATGCCAGTTATAGATAAATACAAAAAATTGAATGAATTACAAAACACTCATTTTTTTTCTATTAGATCTGAAAATGTTGTGTAATACTACAA